ATGTTCCGGGCGGCGTGAGGCCGAGACGAGTGGCGCCTGCGACCTCCGAGCCCCCCCCAGCAGTGGCTGCGCAAAAGCTCAGGACAGCGGGAGGGCTGCTTCGGAGGAGATGCCTGGTCCTATATTAAAATCCACAGCAATGGCCACAGCGGATCCAGGCACTCCTCACCTGCACGTTTGCTAATGAAAAATCTTTGTACGAGGGAGGCCATACAAAATAAACACCTTCCTGAACACTTCCTATGATGTACGTAAAGCAGTTGCATTGTTATCGCGTGACTGACCAGCAGAGAAATGGCCGCGATAAAAGCCAGCAGCTGAAAGCAAGCTGGCTGGATCCAGCAGTCCGCTGGATGGCTTCCTCCAAGTCTTCTGCATTAGCCAGCAGACAAGGGCATGCAGAGAACGCCTTTTCACTTGAAGTGAAAAGAGGGACAGTAAGCAGGACTTTGAATGAGGACCTAGGGGCATCGACACTGTTTTGTACTTGTTCAGGTGTAGACTAAAGCTGGAGCTGTGTCAGCGACTGAGCACAACATTCACATCAGTGCAGTACATTTTCCCAATGGCTACTTTCCGCTCCAGCCTCCCTTGCTTCATCTCCTCTACGCCCTCCACAGCCACCTGGTCTGATCAGGCAGAAACACATGGCACAGGGAGAACACAAGGATCACCTAGACTTCTCAGGCCTGTGCTCTGTCCCTGGGCTTTACTCCAAAACAATGACAAAAGCATCGAACATGTCTGGATTTTTTTATTTTGTTAAAAGGCTCGGCTGTTCAACTGCAGGGAGAACGGCCCAGTACCAATTTCTCCAGTAACACATTGGGCAGACCAGAGACAGAACACAACACCCACCAAGGCTTCTCTGTCAGCACAAATGGTTTCAGCATCCCCCTAGAGAGAATGAAGGAAAGGAAGACACAATGGCCAGCCCACGCCAGGATTTGGAGAGAAGTCTAAAACAAGGAAACACACTGGTGTCTTTTCTTCATCATTATAGGAGTCACTGCACCTTCAGCTGGAATGAGAGTATTCCCTCATACTCCCTTCCGTGTCCAGCTGACCGTGTGCATGCCACCACACAGGTCTGCTTTTGTTGGAGGATGGGAAGACAAAGCTACCGTAGGGTTAAATCCAGTGACATTTCCTCTGTTACCAGACTTTTTGTCTCTCCCCTCTCCTATTGCAAGTCTTGGTCATTGATTTGGTAACTCAAAAAAGCAATCTGTTAAAACTTTTTAAAAAAAAAAAAAAAAAAGGTGCAAACTTGCCTGTTTTCCCCCTGCAGATAGCCTACATTTTCGTGCATCAGAGGTCAACCTGGTCACAGAAAAGGAATCTGAAGTTGGCAGGACTAGCCAACCTGTGAGACAGGCAACTGCTCCCCTGGTTTTCTGAATGTCAAGTCAATGAAAAGCAAGGGGGCACCTACTGCAGGCTGCCAAGGCTCAGTTTCTCCACTGTGGGTTGGCAGGATGTATATAAACCACAGTGTTGAAACAAGTTGTACCATGGGGCAGTGCTGAAAGATAAATACCTGTCTCTGTCCTCTACCTTATTGTTTGAGCTGCAGCCTAGACTCATCAGTCCTCATCTGAGCTATCCTCCGATTTTTCATCAGCGGCCACTTTCCAGTTCTTCCTCTTGCTCCTCTTCTCTGGTACTTCACTGTGCCTCTCTGACACAGAAATGTGACGCTTCTTTCTCTTTTTTGGGGCCCGTTTCTCTTTTTTCTCCTCAGATTCACTGTCCTCAGAGCTGCTGGTGGTTGAGCTGCTTGCATGAGAAAAGTCACTTTCCTGCCCAGAAGAAGAGTTAGGTTCCCTGTCAGGCACTTTCCTGGTCTTTTTCTTGCGCTTGTGTTTCCCTTTCCGGGTGCTTGAAGTCTCCTCTTCTGAGCACTCGCTCTCCCGGGAAGAATCTGATGATGTTCTCCCCTGCTCCTTTTTCTTTTTCTTTCGCTTTTTGTGTGATCGCTTTTTTTGTTTCTTCTTGTGTGATTTCTTTGTTTTTTTCCGTTTGTGCGACTCGTGGGCAGTTTGCTTTCCCAGATGAGATTTCTTCTTCCCATTGATAGCATTTTGTTCATCTCCTTCTTGCTGGTCACTGTAAAAAGAACAAAGGATGACCAAAAGGAAGCAGACAGGCAGGCACATAACAGTTGAGCCTTTTCTGTCTCAAAGTTTAAAGCAAGCCCATCAATTCATTTGGCTAGAGCAGGGAAGCAGATACTTTGGCAGATGCAGTAGCTCCATTTTTGTTTCATGTGCTTGTAACAGCTTGGGTCCACACCTTACTAATACCCCTGTTTAAGGTATTTGAGCCAGAACCAAGGAGAATGTGTCCTGAAAGCCACTGAATGATGAAAACTCATTTATAGCAGGTTACTTCAAATCTGTAAGCCTGACAAATATTGTACTTGATGATTCTGTTAGGTGTAGTTTAAAAATACTTAATTCTAAGATCTTATTTTACAGTTAAGTCTCCACTCTCCAGGATACTGCAAGAACTTATATTCTCCAAATAAGGAGAAACACAGAAAATACAGGTACACTGTAATGGAAAGGAGAACCTGGAGCTGATATTTGAGAGGGTGTATACTGAGCTGATTTGGATTCAGCCTACTACTCTGGCTCTCTGTTGGCCCAGACAGATCTTCCAGATTCATAGCATTTTAACAACTCAGGCTAAAGTTGAATGTCTAATTACTATAAAAGATGCAATCTCCTCCTAAGACTCAGGCAAGGGGGAACCACATTAATGGACTAGATTTTTTTCAGTGGGTGTCTGTAGCTAAACAGTGCTGCTTTACATTCAAGGCTGACCTATAATCAAAACTTAAAACTCAGTTTGTAAAATTCCCTGCATAACCTGCCAGAAGTAAGATTCTGGATACATTAGTAAGCCTGCTTGCCTTACCTATCTGTATCAAATTCTTCAGGGTACAACTCTTTATAGCCACTGTGACCCCATCTGTAAGAAAGCAGAACCATCTGTTAGAAACAGACAAGGTGTTTAAGGAAAAAATATAATTGTGAAAAGACAGAGCCACAGAAGGAACATGAGTTTAGACAGCAAAGAAGGGCTATCAGAACCTTCCCAACAAAGAAGGAAGGAAACATGACTGATTTGGTTGGTACTATTTAAATACACGTTAAGTTCTCGGTCTCTTTTCCATTTCTAATTAGGGAAAACTACAACTCAAATTTCTTTAAAATAACCCTGGAGAGCACTAACTTGCATTTCCCAAGATTTCTAAGTTCCTTGGGCATAGTCATAAATACTAATCTTAGTTGCTAATCTTAGGGCTGAGCTTTTGCTGCTTACTGTGACTTAGGAACTCTATAGGTGAACTCAAATTAGGTATTCTGTGACACTGTAAAAGTTCGTGCATGTTACTTATTCACTCCCAAAATGAGATCAAGCATTATTTTATAGGAGTACTTACTGAAAAGAGAAACGCACTAACTTTTTGGTACAGGACTCCAGAAAGGTGTTTTAATTACAGTTATAATCACAAAATATTAATTCCCCCACAGACCTGTCCGGCATGTTGGCTTCACATTCATACAGCTTTTTATTCCAGGATCGGGCCCTAAGGAGATCTTCTTCAAGTGGGTCAAGAAATTGTGAGTTCTTTGTTTTCCAGTCAGCCCTGTGGCCCTCCTCATCAAAGCCATCACTGCGCATCCGACTGCTGCAGAAAGAGAACAGTTGTCCTTCAGCTGTCAGCTCTGATGGAGAAACTTTCTGAGCAAGGGGTTAGTCCAGCGAGAGGAGCAAAATTCCAGCAAGTCTTGGATGTCCATCTATGCAAGAAGACCAGCTATCATTTTAACAGACAGTCACCGTTAACAGCTCTCACAAAACCAGTTCAGTAGCTAACACTGGTTTTCAAAACTTACTACGGCCCTCTGTGCACAGCAAAATTCTTGACAGAGATGCTCACAATGCAAAATTAGAGGAAGGGCTTATCTTGCCTATCACAACAAATGCAGTTTTCTTCCTCTAGAATACTGTGCAGGAGCAGACTAACAATATGCAGTGAGACATAGGCTAGCAAAAGCAGCAAAGGGGAAACTGAAGAAGTAGGACTGGCTTACTAGAATTGCAATTTGATCAGGTACTAGGACTATGACCCCAAATCCACAGAAAGCACTGACAGTTTTGAGTGATCTCACATGCCTGTGGCTCTAGTTTTGTTTTTCATTTGAAATGCCGCATTTCCTGAGCCAAGCAGCAGCCGTGGACTTAGCATAAGTCTGAAAGGTGTTCTCCCCTGAGATACTAAAACCACTTCCTGCAACATTCACGCTTCTGAAAAGTCTTCATGGTAGTAAGCCCTGCCCGCCCCCACGCAAAACCCCAACCTTCCCCCCAAACCGAGCTTGTTTTCATGTAGCTTGTGAGATCCTCAGGCATGTCAGAATGATTTCACAGATACCGCACAAGCAGCGGTCAATACTGGTGTGTTACAATAGTGCAGTACTCCACATCACAACCGTTTTGTTTACTGCTAACCTAAACAGCAATACATTCGACTTTCCTCACAACATTCTGACATATCCCTTAAGCACTTCCTACCCCCACTGCTTCAGAGAGCCCAGCCTACTTAATGGTGTATTTTGAA